GATCAGAGAGAGATAGGCAGGCAGGCAGGCAGGCAGACAGATGATAGATAGGCAGAGATAATTTCCTACAAAACAGAAAATTGATGCTTAGCCTGAGAAAATAATATTCTCAACAGAATATTATTCTAGACCCATGATACTGATGCTGAAAAAGGCTGAACATTGTCTCCCATCAAAGTCACCAATTACATCGATTTTGAGAGCATATTAGTAAAGTTAGATAAATATAAACCAAATATAAACATAAACCAAAAGGTAGCAGTCTGTTATTTCTAGTTACATAGCAAAATCAATACTTTTAAAATCATTTAGCAGTCTTAAAAAAGATGAGTCGTAGAACTATTTATCATGACCACATTCACATTTATTAAATTTTAAGTAGCAATCATGAGATAAGAAAATGTAAGTATGTTATCATGGCATCCTTAGCAATCAGACTCACCAAGTGTTATGAACCTCAATGGCCTCTTGATTAGGTTCAGTTTTGCACAGATGAACTGAAGATATCACTTGTTCACCAGCATTTGTCCAACTACTTCCTACAATACAGACACATATTAAAACCAAGATCAAATATTTGAGCTACAAAAAGGAAAAAGAAACCCCCGTTCTTTACAAAGAGGTAGAAGATCAGCCTGATTTTTATACAATTGAAAATGACTTTGCAGACTTTGGGAGTTATGATGTCAAGCAATACATTGGCCCTCCCACAACGTTATGCTTATGTATTTGGAAGCATATATACATATAATGCCCTTTATGTTCTAAGGATAAGACTGCAATGAACACCACAGCAATAAGAAACAGTAAGACAAACAAATTAAAGGCATGGGATTAGAAAAACAAAACTAAAACTAATTTACCCCAACACAATTCACTAAATCTCTCTCCTCCTATACTTCCAGTCCATCCTTTATTCTATTAAGTCCAAATCATACATTGTCTTTTGTTCTTTAAACTTCTCACCTCTCTATTTTGGAGGATTTCATCAACAACTCCATCCAACCATGACTTTCTTTACAGTCATTAACTTCCTTCATGGATTTATTTTGGTATTTGATCCTAATTCATTCTATTTGACCAAACATTCTTAATATATTTCTTTCATAGGAATAACTTACTATTGTAATGTACAATTGTTTGAAAGACTGCTGATTCCTCAGTGTCTCTCAGGAAAACACACTGAGGTATCAGCAATACCTCAAAATACAAATCCTATCACGATAACTGCTTTCTTTAGAACATATTATTACTGCATTCTGGGAGCACTCAATTCTGGACCTTAATAAAATGAGAATAAACTTACTGAATCAGACTTGAGAGTTATCTAGATCTGTATTCTTTTCCTCTAAATGGGAAGCCCATAATCTGGCTGTGAACACAATAGCATCTGGCTGCCCATTTTCCATGGCAACATGGTCTCTGTTTTAAGAAGAGCCCCCAATACTTTCAAACTTGCTATAGAATTCTCACCATTTCTCTTTTCTATACCGGTGTCTGGTCTGAGTCTTGAGTGCTGGAATCTGCTTGGATGTTCTTCAAATTGGGATTGGCCAAAGCTCAAAATATCAGAGAGCTCCAAGAAAACATCAAGGGACATTTGGCCAGATGATTTTGTAAAACGGCCTGCTGGAAAGGATAAAGGATCAGAGTCTCCAAATTCTTTTAACAGTAAATTATTGGATAACTTGTATAAATTAGAAAGGAATGTAATAAATGAATGAGATGGTAGAAAAGTTGAAACTTGCAGCTTTCCATGTTCTCCCAAAATATGTTTTGGAATGTCTTACAATTACTTAAATCATATTTTGCATTGAAAGTAATAGTGAAGAAATCTGCATTCTTCTTGTATTAAGGAAACTTTGCTTACTTAATAGATTCCCATTACATTTTAGCAAAATATCTTGAACTAGCTGAAGTATAACTTTTAGTTTTTAATTAGAATAAGCCATTTCGCAACTCATTGTCCAACTCTTTAACTAGTTATGAACTATCAACAATAAACTAAATAGCCCCCAGCCTCTACTGCATCATTTTCTCCATTTTCCAGTTTCTTCAGGATTTGAGCTACTACAAACAATAAGGTTGAAAGCACATTATCACCCCATTGGCTTTAGTTAACTTGGTGTTCTGACACATGACACAATCATTCCTACTCCGAAAAAGTGGTATTCATATTAGAATGTTAACATTTATTAATTAACCAGGTATCAGTACAATAAGAACAATATATTTTAATTGGGGGTACAATGACCTAGTGGTTAAGATGCCAGACTTGTCAACCAGAAGGTTGGATGTTCAAGTCCTAAGAATCATATGATGGGGTGAGCTCCTGTAACTTGCCCCAGCTTCTGCCTACCTGGCAGTTCAAATGCATGCAAATGCAAGTACTGGTAGATAAATAGGTACCACTTCAGTGGGAAAGCAACACCATTCTGTGTGCCTTGGCATGCATGCATGCATGCAAACAAACACACACACACATGTATATTTTTAATTAGTACATAATGCCATAATCATAACTGTGTCTGTGAATGGACATGTATGAAAGATGGAGTAAGAGAGAGTTGAATTCTCTCAGCTCAGGTCAAAGATGCTTGCTCAGGAAGACTTCTGTGTATGCAGCATGTGGGAAAGTATCACTATAAAGATTTCAAAGTCAAAGGCTGTAGTTTCCCAAAGAATTGATCTTCCCATATGAAGTGAATGAAGCAATGACACTGAAGTACTAAAAAGTACCAAGGTCTGACCAGCAGAGAAAGGACCAAGGTAGGACCAGTGAAGTTTGGGTGTTGGCTATACCTTTTTGGAGAGTATAAATGTGGCTAGGAACTGGCCCCCTTCATGTGGAATAAAGCATTCCATGTGGACTTTTCCCCACCTTTCTTTTGGAATTCAAACACAGCATGGCCATCTACACTTTCAGTTAGGAAAATATGTATGAGTATGTAAGTATGAGAGAAGTGGCTTTTAGAAAGTGAGAAAATAAATAAAAGGTTAAAGTTTGATTTTATATGCCTGAAAGCTTGGACAAAAAAAAAAAACCTAAGTGCTGAATGTTCTGCCCAAGGCTTCCTGAGACAGTAACAATCATACGCTGTTCCCAAAAACCCTTTGTTTTTATTTCAACAGCTATGAATTATATGCATTCACAACCCGTAATGAGTCCCAAACAGTTTATGAATAGTCCAACAGAAGTCTGCCACAGTCTTTCAGGATAAGGCTGATAAGCACCCACCTTTATCTCCCTTGAAATGCTGCCAATGACTAAATTGCCAATTAGCTATACAAGGCCAAACGGAGCACAAAGTCAACACAGAGCTTCAGATTTTAAATTGACCAGAACAAACAAAGTTGCTTCCTGCAAAGGCTCATTTCCCTTTCCTCCTCCTTTATGTCTTATGGGAAGAGCCAATCATCTCCAAGCCTTACTCCCGAGTCACCCCTTTTGTCTTAACTGTTCTTGCCTTCTAGCAGCTCTGCGCAAATGCGCACTGGGAACAGGCTCCCTCTGTTCCTCTGCCTCACTGATGTCAGATTCTGGTGGCTCCAGAGTCAGCACATAACTCTCAGATGGCTCTGGAGCCATCTCTGTGTTGGATGCAGATCCCTCATCTGAGCCCTCCCCAGACTCCAGAACTGGCCCATGTTCCTCCCCACTGTCCAACTCTGCTGCCAGCTCCACAAGCCGCCGGCAGACTACAACACTGAGTGTGACAATCAGGCATCTTTAGTCCAAAGCTATCCATAGTGCTATGCATGCAAAGAACCTAGGAAGTAATTTAGATAAGTTGGCGAGATCCCCTATAGATGATATAGGGTTAATTTACAGGTTGACTTACCTCGATAGGCTGGGGTGCTACGTGTTTGACTAGGACATCTGAGCAAGTCATCCCTCCGTATACCAGGTGATGCCTGATTTGTTGATGGAAAGCTGGGGATGCTGGAAATGGCGGTACTATCAGACTGACGACTGTAACCACGAATGGCATAGCGATTCACTGGGTAGTTCTCATCCAGAGGACATACTAGCAACTTTGCTAATTTGTATTCCAAATAATAGACAGTCCTAACAAGAAATGGGCAGTGAAGAAAGTTTCAAACAGAGAGCAATTCAAAGCAAAGTCTGGGTCCTGAGGCATCCTTCTAAGTCCTCTTTTACAAAATTCAGACTGCATTTTAGGTAGTCCTGAGAATTTCTATTCAAATTCAACTGTGCTCCCTCCCTTTCCATCCCAGATGCTTCAGAGAAAGTTGTGATTAGTCATGTTCAGATAGCATAAATAATTATAACGAAGATTTGAGTTACAATGTCTTAATACTTTTCTGAAACCAATAATGCTGCCCATTAAGTGAGTGTTCAGTTTCAACACTACAGTCATTTTTATTGTTCAAGCTCTGAATAAGCTATGGCTAAATAAATAGCTGCCATTGTTGTTTTCCTGAGAAGCAACTGATCAGTAAAATAAGTAGATTACCTACCCGATAATATTTAACAATCTCAAGGTTTCTTATTCACTCCATTTTTGTTGTATGCAAAGACTTGTCCTCATACACAAAGGGTACTTCAACTAATCCACAAACACTCTGAGACTTAAGAACTCAATGGAAAGTCAGTAACAGAGACTCTGACCCAGAAGTCTAAGACATGTGTAAAGGTTTAGTACTCAACCTTTGAAACGGGAGAAAGCGCTCCTGAGCTAACCAGCTTAGGGCCCTTTCTCTCTCTGCATCAGTTGCTCCATAACATGATGAACTTGCTTCGTCTGCCAAATGACTGGGAGATTCCAAGAGGAAGCCATCTAGCTCCTGCAGCCTTCCTGTAAGTCGGTCATACTGCAGTCTAAGAGGAAAAGCCTATGTAAAACACAGTTTTAAAAAATTAGTCTGAAAGGCAAATTTCAGATAACAAAGATCGGTAGAAAAAAAAGTATTCTGCTATCTGTTCTAAGACAAGGACAAATGAGAATATAGTCACAGCTGTTTTTAAAGCAATACCATGGGTCATTCAATGGAAGAATAAATCTGGCTTTCACAGTAGTGCTATATTATTTATTTATTTAAAACATTTATATAGCCGCCCATCTTATACCGAACTCTGGATAATTCCTAATCAAGAGAACATTAATGATAACATCATTTCTAGTCTAGCCAATATTACTCTCAGAGTCATCTCTGATGGGTGGCAAATTAATAATAAAATGAATGTTTTAAAAATTACATATCTATTCCAACAATTCACAGCATTCAGTGCCCTTATTAAGCCCAATCATTTATCACAAAATGGGTAGAGGAGAAGAGGGCGAGAAAAAAGATGTCAATGTTGCCACAACTGTTCTAACATCGTGCCTACATCATTAAATAAGGTTTTTCCTTGAAAGGTGAACAGGTCTCAAAATGAGTATTATTCCTAGATTAATTTATAGTTTGAGAGGAATTCCAGTTTATATAGCTGGAAAATGTTTTCAGAAAATAATTTCTTTGTTTAGAAAATTTCTGTTCTTTGTTTCCGAGAATGTCTTCACAAATATGCAATTAATAAGGGAGATGAAAAAGATGAATTGTAAACAATGCTCTGTGTTAAAAGATAATATCTTCTATTAGATATAACCTAATGGCAATATTTACAGTCACAAAATTTGTTAACAACTTTGCTTGGACAAACAGCATTTTCAACTTCTGAGACACCTGAGATATTAGAAAAACTTGAAAAATTCTTTAAAACTAAAACAATCTACTATTCATTTTTTAATCAATGTTATCAATAAATCAATTGAATATGCAGATACTAAGAAATACCCTGAGGTAAGATGGACAGCCAATTAATTTTATAAAAAAACAAACAAAATGAGTGGAAGAATTAGAAGTTCCCATAATGCCTAGAGGCAATGGGAAAGTATTCTAACTTCTATAGAAACAATATCGATGGATTTTAAATTATGGCTTATACAAAAAAAATATTTATAGTTTATTCAACACTGTTACACTTGTATAGAAATGGACTGTAAAAAACAGCATTTTGTTAGAGATGTAATGAGGATAACGCTTCCTTAAAACATATTTTTACAATTCTTACACTTACTAGGTTTTGCGACAAAGTGCAATAAATATAATTGTACAACAAAAAATAAAATAGTCAGATGATAATCTTTTTTGAACTATATTCCTAGCATTTCGAATTTGACATCTGGACAACATAAATGGACCCTCTGTGCCATTATGGCCAAAGCAAGCAAACAAACAATACTGCAACATTGGAAAAGTAGATGTCTGGCCCCATTTACCCAACAGATTGAAAACTTATTGCTAATAATCGTATTAGACAATCAGGTATAGATACAACTCCTATTACAATGATTTAATACTTTTTTCTCTTTTATTATATTTTTTCACTTTTTTAAAAGCATTATGTGTCTTTTCTTTCTTTGTCAGTGTATGTATTGTTATTGTTTTTTCAGGGGGGATGTCATTATTTTAAAAATAAAAGAATCAATAGATATATTTCCCTTTTTCTTGTCTATTTCTATTATGTAACACAGAGCCCAACCACAGAGATTTGTTCACGGTTAGAGGATATTTTGATTAATTCTAATAAAGATATTTCCTACCTAGCTCAGGTGTTTTTTTTGACCAAAAACAATATTCTAAGCCCAGAGAGCATCAGGCAAAGTAGTGAATTCTACTCACAGGCAGAGCCAGGAAAGCATTAAAAAAATCCAAAAAGATGTCATCATAAGTCAACAGTTCTTCTAGAAGCTCATATCCTAAAACAAACAAATCAAAGTCATATGAACAGAAAATTTAAGTTGACAGTCCGCAAATATTTCCTCAACTTTGCAAGTATTATTGACATCCATAAGAAATATCCCACCTCAAAGGTTATAGAGATAATTTAATCCAAGTTGGCTCTAGCCAACGTTCAGGGAACTTTAAACCTAAACATAAAGCTTTCTCTAATATAAAATTGCAGAAACAAATTAAGTATTTATCAGTTTTAAATGACAAAAACTACTTGGAAGGATTGATGGCTGTTTGTAGGATCCATCTATCCAGAATCAACTCAACCCTAATTTACAGTTAAGTTAACCCAATTATTTTGGTTCACACAACACTGAGGCATAAATTAACCACATGAACTGACTACTACAGTAGTTTAAAATGTAGTTGCTAAGTATGTGTGATCTGTTTTGAAAATCAAGAAGTTTGCAGGCATTACATAGAATAAATAACCTCTTTGCTGCCTTCTGGGGCCAACTAGAATGACCTTCCTGCAGGAACGGAAGAATCTGGACATGAGGATTTTGTTCAAGCACCACCACCAAGCGCATAAAGTTGGCGACTGTGTGTGGTTAAAATTACATTTTAGGCACATTACACGTCTTTCCAATATTTCAAGAGGTTCTATTATTCATTAAGAGGTTTTAATAGAGTAACTTCAAAAAAAGCGAGAGAAATCTTTTTGAAAAAAAAAATTGAGCTAAACATTTTGAATACTCCCAGGAGGAAAGTGAGAATAGAGCAACCCATCCGTCTCACTAAGCAAAAGAAAATCCAGTAAATAGTAACAAGCACTTGCAGCAATGCACGGGGAAAGCGAGCCGATTCTTCTCTATAGCAACAGAATTTATTCGCTTTCAAATAGCAGGGAGGAGGATTCGGCCGGGCGTTTGTTTCGTGCCTTCCCTCGTCCAAAGTTATTCACTGAATTTCATGCCTGGGCCAAGATTCAAAAAGAAAACTTTTCCCGCATCTAACCAGCTGACCGCGCTGGTTCACTTTAACGCACACTTGAAGACGGGGCAATTCCTCCCATTTGCCTGGATTCCACCTTTGGTCCGCAGGGTTTAAATAAACCGAGAGAGAGAATCTAGCTACGGTCGAAAAAGTTGGGGAGATATTTTTTTTTCCGACTTGGGTCTTCTCTCCGTTCTTTTCCCGCGCAACTCGAGAATCGTCCCCGCTCTCCGTCTCCCGCCTGGAGCGAAGGTCGCCTTTCCAGACCGCCAGGCGAAGACGCCGGTCGAGGGCGAACCCCGCCGACGCGCTTTGGTAGTCAAGGGCCCGCAGGTGAGGGGAGGGCGCAAAGACCCCGGATGAAGACGCCGCGGAGCCTCTAAGAACGTAGCGGAGGGAAAGGGTTTGGCTGTTGCCTTGCAATGCAAAGGAATGGAGGGGGAGGAGTAATAGCAATCTGGGGTCTCCCCCCCCCCCCCCCCCCAGCGAATCGAGGAATTCGCCACAGAACTATTTCCAGGGATTTAGAAGAGAGCGCTTTTCCTTTTGGATTTCCCTAGTTTTCTTCAAAGTCAACCCCCTTCCCCCCACACCCGCCAGAACCCAATTCGAGTGCTTATACATTTACAAACCAGAGTCCCTTTCACAAGGAATTTCTTGTGCACTTGAGACTTTCAAGAAGAGATTGGACTGCCATTTGACAGAAATGGTGTATGGTGGGGGTGGACTAGATGACCTACAAGGACCCTTCCAACTCTGATTCTCTGTAAATATACCCGATCCCCTGCCCATCCAGGGAATAAATGTAAAGTCAGAGGGAGTTCCAACTCAGACGGGTCAAAAAAGAAGACCTGAATCTTTTTGTTAGGCAGAAAGAACAGGTGGGACAAGGACCTGGAACATGCCAATCTCCGCAAGTTTGCATTTAGAGTTAAAGAATAAATAAGGGAAGTTCAAGAGAGATGGGACAAGTTTGTTTGATGTATTGTGTGAACCATTCTCCTGTATTTAGTTTATAATTCAGTGGCCAAGCAGGATGTACAAATACAGCCAATGTGAAAACAAAACAATTCAGAGAGACTTCAGCTGTAATGCCCTGAAACCTGATCAGTGGCATGTGCATTTTTATGCGTTAGTTTTTGGTCTTAGAAATAAGGAACAGTTTTATTTTCTTCCTTTAACTTGAACTACAAAGGGAAACAGGCAGGTTTTTTTCAAGTTCGCCTGGTTAAAAAGAAAGATCCAAGTGTCAGGGTTCATTGATGAACTTGTAAACAACAATCAAATATAGCAGCTTTACACCATTCAGATGGAGACTCTGTTCAGGATAGACTGAGGCAAGTTGAAGACAACATCATATAGTCTGGTCTTGAGAAATAGTTAGTGGGCTGTCCTTGCACCAGAGCAAGCAGGACACGTGGATGAGCCCCCAAAAAGATGATAGGCAAGCATGTATGAGTGAATGGTTGAAGTTCAAGAAATGTTCGTATCAGATCACACAAATCAGGCTGAAAGTGCATACTTATGGAGTTCATTAAGGATCCATTCCTGTGTTTTTCTCTATGGTAAGAACTGTGGGAGTGATTTCAAGAAGAGTATGAAAGAGCATGATAGATAAAAGAGAGTGATGCTGTAGTAAAAACAGAGATAGTAAAAACAGAGAAGCTTTGACAGGAGTGCTCAACCGTAGACAAATTTCACACATAGTAAAAGCAGAATGTGGTTTGTTTGGTTTAACCTTAATATAAACAATCCTGGATCTAATATGTAAACCAGAATTTATGGTAGGGATGACATTCCACAGCATTCTTAAATCCACCCAGTGACTGCTGTTAATATTACACAGGATGTCTTGAACCGATATGGATTGCTTTAATTTTATATGAATTTTGCTAAAACTGATAGTTGCAAATAAATGTTTCAATGTAATATGTATATGTGAGAAAAAAGAGTGACAGATCAGTGAAGCAGGGATTAAGTTCAGGCACACTCCAAAAATAATTGAAAAAGGTGCTTTGGACTTTGCACATTGCCCTTACCATATATTAAAGCAGTCCAATTTTTCCACAGCTTATCATATTTTTTTCCAAGTATAGAAATAATCCCTTGCTTCAATAGAAAACAGGGAATCATGTCAACTCATGATTTTACCACACCAGTACACCTCTTACAGCTCTCGGTAGTCCACTCATAAACAGCAGCTGCAACTTTAATAAGGTTGCCTGTTCTGTATCCTGAATCACTGGCTGGACAGCACATTGCCTATCCCTGGTTTGTGACATTAAGAAACAAAAAGTGAAATATTAGTGGTTGTTTTGTTATTGGACTATGGGCTTTGTTTTTAATTCAGGTGAAAGCTTCAGAACAATTGCTTGCTCTTTTTAAGAGGAAAAGATCAGTTGTTGCCTGGAAAAATAGCCATTTTTTGTAGATTCACTGCCTTAGAGTTTTGCAGTTCAAGAATGTGATAGTTCATTGACTGACTTAGTACCCCGACTTCAGCAGTCATTAAAATTGGAAGTAGAGCAAGAAAATCTTCCCTGGGCTAAAGAAAAGGAAAGCAAGATTCAACTGACCCTGAAATAGGAAAAAGACCTGAGGCTGTGAATGATAGCAGATGTAACAAAGAAGCAATTCATATTATTCTGGCTGCAGAGGACATTGTCAGCTCAGATATTTAGTGCCAGTATTTTAGTTATTTGGCTATCAGGAGCAGAGAGTTCCCAGGAGGTTTGCAGTTGATTTCATCGCCTTTGCTGCCAGGAGCAATATATAAACATCAAATTCTGCTGGTGTTACGGAAGCAAGTACTCAGCTAATTTGCCATTAAACGTTAACTAGGTTGGGGAATATGGAACAGATATAATTTTGTAGTTGGTATCTGAAGCAGAAGTTTGCATACTATGGCAAATCAGACAAACATTTTTAAGCCATTTGGCAAAATGTTGTACAGGTAAGTTATGAACACTATTTGCGACAGTACAAATCCTGCAGGATGATACCTACATACACTTTTGGATTGTGCTGAAAGTTGAAGAAACATTCCATGATCTAGAAGAGGAAGTGGGTTGTTGTTTTTTCACCTTTTGCTGTCATTTGAGGAGGTGGTTGTGTATTTCACTGAACAGGAATTCATTCTTTTAGAGTCTCACCAAATAGCTTTCCATTAGAGAATCTTTGTACAACATGAACTCTTTCTGGAATGGGATCCCTTTGTGGCCTTGACTGACATAAGCACCTATTTTGTACAGTTGTGTTGTTGAAGTCAGTGTTCAACCCTCTATGCTAGGGTCTTCAAACTTGACAGCTTTAAGACTTGTGGACTTCAATTCCCAGAATTCCTCCTCCAGTCATGTTAGCTCAGGAATTCTGGGAGTTGAAGTCCACAAGTCTTAAACTTGCTAAGTTTGAAGACCCTTGCTCTATGCAATGACTTTAAATTAAGTCAGCTAATCTAACACAGGAATTGCTAATTCTTTTCAAATCAGTAATCATTTTTTGAATGTTGAGACCATCCATTGAGTACGTTCATAAAATGGCTGCCACAATAAGCATGACAGTCATTCAGCAGAATACCTAGCTGTTACCAGTATGTTCCTTTATTTTCAAGTTTCATTTTTGCCTCTTTTCTAATTCCTCAGAAATTAGAAATCCTCTAATTTTCTAAATATGTGGGGAAAATAAAAATTTGTACAATGTTGCTGGAAAAATCCAAATGTAAAGAGGGAATAGAGAAGAAGAGCTGATAAAAACAAAACTAATAAGTAGAAATCAGTTTCTTTTCAAGACAATGGCTTCCATAAAATCTGAATCCAAGAAAAAAACAAATAAAACCAAGACCAAGATCAGGTACACAGTTCTATGGAGAACATTTTACATGGAAAGTAAAATAATGCATGTTGGAAATCTCACACCATAGACAAATGTGATAGAGTTGTAGAATGTAGAAATGCTTAGAATCTGGAAAGATTTTCAGTCAGAAATAATCTTGTTGCAAAACATCAAAGAATTCATACGCATTCAGACTGAAATAATGGGGAACCTTAAAGAAAAAAACTCAGAAAAGAAAATTCATACAAGCACCTGGAATATGGAAGGATCATGCATCACAGAACTGAGACATAAGAGACCACATAAATGCATGGAAGAGACAATTTCAGTCAGAGCACAATACTTGCTAGGCATCAAGGAAGTCAGAGTGAGAGACCATATGAGTGCTCAGAATGGGAAACAGATTGTGGCAGAGCTCAGAATTCATCTGCAGTTTTATTTAGGGAAGCCACACTGGATGCTTGCAGTGTAGATATAGCTTTAGATGGAACATGTTGCTTATAAGGGAACTCACACAGGAGAAAAATCATGTAAGAGCTCAAATTATGGCAAGGATTTGTGTGCCATAACTGAAAAAATATGATTGATCTTATTGAACAGAGAAAGTACCATATATAGAAGTTTAGAATGTGAACAGAATTTATTTCTATGTGAGAAAGTGCCTTGACCATCATGACTTAATGATGGAAATTTCTGGCTTCATTACAATTGTAATTCAAGGACTACCTTTATTGTTGCCAAGAAAATTGCATGAATGAATCCACTGAGTTGAATGACAACAATGAAGTAATTATAATACTTTGACCATTATGTAACTAATATTCAATGACACAAAATAGAATACAGAATTTTGTAATATTTTTTGTTACTCTTTATTCAAGTGCACCCTTATTTATTTTCATCTAGAAGCAGGCAACCTTTTGGTGCCCTGGAGCAGCACATCATTTTTGAGGCAAAAATATCTGAAGATGCAGGCCAAGTAGATAAGGCCCCCATTATACCTGTGGACCCTGTGGTATTTTCCTTTTATAAAAAAAATTAGGTGGAAACTTATGTTCTTTGTTATTAAACTGTGGTCAGGCTTCTCATTAGTTATGATTTTCCTCTGATTTCATCTCATAATGGCAGGAAACTGCCAATAGTTTTCAATATTTCACCTCCTCTCCCATTTTGTAGCAGTCAGAAGTTTGCAAAAAAAAAAAAGATGGGGAGAGAGATGAAGCATACTGTACAATATATCAGAAGATGTAGCTGCCAAGTCAGTTGCTTTCCCTACGCTTTTAAAAGGGAAATAACATGGACAATTGCTCAACAGCTATCCACTGCTACTCCCTAGGATTGACTTTTTCCCCAAAGGGCATCCCTGTTGGGTTTCCAAAATTAGAGTATATTGGAAGATGTCTACACTTCTAGCAACAACCAGCCAATCTTGGCTGATCTCTGTGAGGCTAAGCAGAGTCGACTAATACTTGGACCACCAGGACAACTCAAAGCTGTTAGCTAAATTGGAAAGGCAAAAGGAAAGTCACAAAAGGCAGGCAGCAATTCCATATTGCTGCCAAGGAAAGAACATGGATATGTCGATGTAGATATAGGAGTTAAGCTCTTTACTGTTATACCAAACAGAACTAAAAAGAGAAAGTGCAACAGATTCCTTTGGGCTACAGCTCTTCTGTCTTGCATTTTGAAGATCTGTAAGTACATTATTGAGACAAAATTATGCTAACCTGTCCCTGGAGACTTTGCTCTGGAACTTCCTTCTGTTTCGTGCATTTCCAGAAGGATGGTATCCGCAATTTCTTAACCGTGTTTCTTCTCCTGTTTCCTTCTGTACTCCTAACAGAAGCTTAGTTTACTAAGTATATACAGTTGGCCACAACTGAGTCACTGGGTGGGGCAAACGAAGTTTCTCAATCTCACCTGGCACTTATTTGTCCCCAGGTAGAGAATAAGTTCCACCTCCTATCAAACAGCAATTGTAAACTAAGTGACAGCTTAATGGATTGCAGAGCTCCACTTACTTTTTGCTTCTGGGTATTGTTTAACAAGTCTACAAAATACTCTTTAAGAGTACAGTGATTCTAGCCAGATCTACACAGAAAGGTAATCTGCTTGCATTTCAAACAGAGGTCATCAATATTGCTCATGGTAACTAGAGTTTCTAAGTTTGTTGCCTAGAATACCTTTATGTAAGCTTGTTGGATGTGGTGCAGTTGTTTCCACAATAACAACTGTATTGAATGCTGTGTTCTTGACAGTTTTTATCTTTAGAGCCAGTTAATAGAGTGTCTTGGCAAACATTTGTAAGGACATTTTTTATCAGCCATATCAAAGCAGCTTTTCAGAATTATGACTTCCTTGTGGAACAACTATTAAGTTATTTTGGGGAGCATCCCTATATGAATATAGGATTATAATTTAGGAAATGTCTTTGTCTTCTCAGGGCATGAGGCATTAAACTTTTGAAATGCATCCTTGGAACCAGTTCCCACTGCCAGATAACTTTATTCTCATCTGATACTATTTGATTGTTTCACAGCTGAATATGCTGCATATACTAACTCAAAACCAGCCAACCCTCTTTTTTTCTTCTTTTTTTCTTTTGGATTTTGTAGTTTAAGTTTGGAAATAAAATAACAATTTTATTTTTTTAAAAACCAGTCAAGCCATATTGTGTAATATTACAAACATAATATTGTTGTAGGAACTTTCAAAAGGCAGCTAACCTCACTAGATAATCTTCTTTGGACTAGTAAGAAAGAAAAGGGCAAGACAAAGAAACACCAGACATTCTGTTTATCAAAGGTACCGCTGTTTGCATGTAGTAAATTTTGTCCATAAATGGCTGTTCTTCCAGGAAATTTCACCTACTGCAGACTCCAGTAAAATAACTACTAAATTTAATTTTTACATTAGCTATAGAAGAAGCATAATAATGCTATTGTGTTATTTTTACTAGCTTAAAGAAACAGTTTTGTTATCCTATCCTTATAAAAGAAGGATTTTACTCCAGAGTTAAATTATCTATCTATTTATTATAAGAAACATCTCCTTATTCTGCTTTGGGGAAACACATATTGAAACATCACCAGTAGGTGGCATTCTTGAATTCTCAGTGTAAGGTTTTCTCTTATCACGTCATTTATTAATTTACAAACTCGCTTTAAAAGTGCCTTTTTATCCTGAATATTACAATTTGATAGGTAATATTGATTTTCAAACAGGCAGTTTCCTGAAGCTTTGGGCACAGTCCACAATGCCTCACTGTCCCTGTCACTGAAAGCTGTATTTCAATGTGACTCAAATGCAAGGAATAGTCTAAAGATGCTCATTTTAGTTGATTATTCGGTTTTAAAAATGGCTTTTGATGTCAATCTACAAAAACTAATGTGTGATGTGTCAGTTACATTCTTTTTTCCAGGTCCATT